TGGGCGCTGAAGAATGAAGAGGCTGCATTCAAAGGATTTTCTGAAATTCCCCTTTTCACCTCATTCTCCAACCAGTGAGCTCATTAAAAGGGCAAATTAATCATGTTAATATTCTCTGAATCTAGTGAACCGCCCAGCACACAGTAGGCACTCAGAACATTTCTTGAATGGATAAGTCAGACTGCAGAGTCACACACTAGCAGAGTTTAAGAGTCAGTCCATGAAGCAGTCTTCTCCAGAACTGCTTGCCAAGTGAGCAGAATTCTCTGGAGTGCCTGCAAAATGATCAAGAATTCACAAGGAAGAAAAGAGAAGATGCTTGTCTCCTGGTACCACAAGGCCCTACTTGGTTGGCCTCATCCCCACTTCCTGCCCCACCACACACACACATGACCTCACCCTGATCTTTGCACCTGCTGTTCCCTTCACCTGGAAAGTCCTTCCCTCTGATAGCCCAGTGCTTCCCTCCTTCTCCTCTGACAGGGTTGGCTCTAATGTGTCACCCTGTGTAAAGATCTGACTCCCTTCCCTGCTTGGCTTTTCTCTTCGGCACTGACCATCATACACACTAAACATATGATCTCCCTTGTGTTGTGAGTGAGCGAGGGTGTAAGTGTGTCAGAAGGACTGAGTATGTGACGGACAGGAGGCTTCGAGGCTAGACCGCCTGGCCTGAGTCCTGTCTCCGCCAATTACTAACTTGTAACTTTGGACAAACTGCTTAAGCTTTCAAAACCTCAAAATCCCTATCTGTAGGATGGGGAAAATCACAGTATGTGCACCTCATGAGTTGTGAGGATTAAATGAAATTACGGATTTAGAAAGCTTGGAACAGCTTTCATTAGCACTCAGAACACCTTACTACTATTATTTTTAAGGCAAGAAACCTTGAGATACATTCTTTAAAAAGTGGTTTAATTACATATAAAGACAGAAACATCTTTAAGCAACATACTAAAGTTCGCTTTTGGAATACAGGTGATCATTTCTGGCTTTTAATAATTAACTTCTGCAAATCTGAATACATTTCTCATAATTTTGCTAGCTATGTCTCTCAAATACTTGCCTAGAAAAGGCCAAAATGATATAAAAGTAAATTGAAAAGATTTTAAATTCCCTTTAACACTATATAAACAAGAAACCAGTTTTCAAAAGCAACTGGGCAAGAAAGAAGAGAAACCTACAAAGGCAGGCGAGTCACTACAGGTCTGGGGTGTACTCCTGGTTTGCGAGGAATTTATTTCATTAACCCACAGTAAACCGAATTAAAACAAAGATTTTCCCTTTTGAAATGGTCTTTAGTTTTCTTCTGGAGAAAGAGAAACAACATCTTTCATGAGGCCTTTCTTCAGGTTCCTTATGATCACACAGGCCCCTGAACGTTCTTTTCTTCCAAATCCTAAAGCACTTAAGGACCTTTTCCACACCCCTTACAGATCCCTCTGTGTCGCTCTGTGGTTGCTGCAAGATTTGGCACCCCCACCCCTCGGGTAGTTTCAAAGGCCGGGAGTATATTCTGTTCTCTTTCCGTAACCCTGCCCAGCTCAGGCTGCTCACTGGCAGGGCACTTACATGTGTGCACGAAGAAAATGAAGGAACACACCCATTTACAATCTAAAACCTGCTAAGAACTGGCGTTACCGCTCAAAGAGGGTGGCAAGCAGTCTGCGAAGGTGCCTGAGTAGCTCTCGGAGTATTTCCTCGGCAGTTATTCACTCAGCTGCATTAATTTGCAATAAGCATGTAAAATCATTTACATTATGGTAAAGTGATACAGAACGTTAAGCCAACGGCCTTAACGCCACATTTTGTAAACCATTCAGCTGAGCAAAGAATTTAAACATCCTTTATTAAAATTAAAAATTCACTTTTCAAAACTCGTGGTCAGACTAATAGTGTTTCTTTAGACTAATAATGTGAAAGGGCAGAGCGTGGATCCCAGAGCCCTGTCACCTGGTCTGCATCTACCTCGGCCACTTCCTAGCTGCATAACCTGGACAAATTACATAACTTCTCTGTGAGGGCTTCCTCAACTGTAAAACGCGGAAAAGCCTCACAGAACTATTGTGAGGATTAAGTGAATTGACCAATGAAATGATAAAGACAGAGCCTGGAACCTGTAAACATTTAATAAGTGTGAGCTGTTATCACTGGTATTACAATTATTACTCGAAACAGTTTTCCTTGCTTACCTTATTTAATTGAGTGGTTAAAACACATACATACTCCAAAGAAGCAGAGATAGTTTGCATATGGTATGTTATAATCCCTTACAATCTGGTTTTATCTAAATTTCCAGATTTTTACTTTTTAGTTTCCAGTTTTAATGAGATACCACTGACACACATCACTGTATACATTTAAGCATAATAGTTTGACTTACATGTTTTGTGAAGTGATGACCACAGCAAGTTTAGGTAGCGTCCACCACCTCATATACACAAAACTGAAAAAAACTTTTTTTTTTCCTTGTAATGAGATTCACTCTTAGGATATACTCTCTTAATAACTTTTCTACGTATCACGCAGCCGTGTTAACTACAGTCACATGCTGTATATTCCAGTGCCTAGACTTTGACAAATGAAATGGAAAAGTTCCACTGGGTTTAATTATAATTCTCATACTCATTTTACAGCTTCAAGAAAAAGGCTATTTCAACCCCAGGTCTGGTTTTCTACTTAGTTCTCTGAAAAGATTTATTGAAAACCCCAAATTGGCTGGAACATTCCTGCTGGTTACCTTTCAGTAGAGTAACTATGTATGTGTACAGAGGATGTCCATTTGGTTTCAATTTTCTGAGACACAAACGCTTCATTGTACAGTAAATGGTAACACGCTGTCCATGATCCAAAGGCACATTGTTTTTTGCTTCTTGATTTTCTGTTCTACTTTTAACTCTGTGGTGATTAAGTTTCCTGTCCCCCACAACAAACGCCTCTCAATTTATTGTGAGCATGCAAACAAGTTAGCTGCTATTAATTTTTTAAAAACATAGCATAGCATAATCCAGTGAGTCCGCCAACCATTAAAATGAGAAAAAAAAAAAACTCAAGTGCAAATCCAGAAAATTTCTGGTTACACTATTTTTTTTCCATTTATATATGGAAAACCAGGTTAAATATAATTCAGTTTTTAACTTGGATTGAAAACTCTGCGTGACTCAGAGCTTATTTACACAGGTTCATAGAAGCTCAATAAATTTCCTGTCTTCAGTAAGACTAAGCAGACCTACTTTTCTCTCTTTAAGGCACTGCATTCTGTAGCACACAGAGAAGGGACTTAAAAACTGTGTCACTCCTTGGTGGGATCGCCTACATAAAAGAATCCCATCTTTTAAAATACATCCTGGGCACTGGCCTCGTTTCATAAAAGGGCGCGCGCCTCAGGTTTTCTGGGATTTGAGCACCATGTGGTCCACAGAATCACACCAGTAGCAGCCACTACTCAGAAGATGAGGTGAGCTTCAAAATGCCCCTTAGAAAGCTAAGGGCTGCCAAAGCTGATGGGGCCACCCCCCCTCAAACCCTCACACTTCACAGAAGCCCAGGGAGGTTGAGCGACTTGCATAGGTAGCTCCCTGGCACCCCGGCTGCACTAGAAACCAGGGCTCCTCTCAACCAGCCAGCTCGCCAGTGGCCACGGCCCTGTGAGCCCCCAGGTCCCAGGAGCTGCGGACACGAAGCAGGAAGAGGCGCCTCATCCATCGGAAAGTCCCCAAGTGGCAGCATCAGTAAGAACCAGAGTTTTGATCTCACTTGTGCCTCCGCTCCCCAAACTGCGGCGACTTCCCAAATAAAGACTGCTGCTTCTCTCAACATCTTTAGCACCTCTCCTCTTCCTCCCAAAGGATGAACACTTCAAGCTGACAAATTCAGCTTTCCCACTCTGCTCCTCGGGGGACAGAAATGGGAAGGCGTGCAGATCCCTCCTCCTCCAGCCACACCTCTTCCTGGGCTTGCTCCTCGGGACCCTCAAGACCTGACGCAGGAGGCCTGACCCTAAATAAGTCACCCTTAAAACACATCTGCATGCTATGAGCTTCTCACCAGGGAGCTTCGTGATCGAAAATACTAAGGTGTAGACCAGTAAAGAGGTTCCCCTGGGATTTAGCTGGGTTTGTTAGTTTCTGCAAAATGTTCTCACATGTGTGGACACCTAACTCTTGAGGCACCTTTCCCACCAGACCATTCAATAGCAGTCACTATTTTTATAAGGGAACCTACTTCTAAATCTATCTGACATGCCTTTAATTTGCTCAGCCTTGTACCTGCTAACATGAGGGTGTTCCCTGCAGAGTGTTCTCAGTCATCGGAAACGGCCAGCAGGCGTTCCGTCTTAGTCCCTGTGAAATGGGCTGACCTTCCCATTTCCTGTCCTGATAATGTAACAGAGAGGAATCTGAACCTCTGCCAAACTTCAGAAGGTACTGAACAGCTACCCTGGAAGCTCTCGAATTTATAAACCTAATATGACTTCATTACTTCTAATACACAAACCAACATAAATAAAAGTTCCTATTAGAAAAGTTTAACTTTTTAGTCGCCCTTCTATTGCTGAAAATTCGTAATACATCTTTCAGTAAAATTCAAGAAAAAATTAGTCTTCATATGTGATGAGGGCACATTATGAAACTAGTGTATAACACCAGAATAATTAAGCACTTAATCATTGGTAAAACATTTATAAATGACATGACGTGTATATATACCAGATGTGTATTTATATGCACATGCTTCTGGCTAGACTTTAAATTGGTTTATGCACACATCTCTCTCCTCAATCAGCCTTTTCATGGTTCAAGGACAGGGCTCTGTCTCTGACTTCTTTGTCTATCTTCCCTCTGCAGGGTGCTGGCCCACAAAAGGCTAAATGCTTTAGTGACATAATGCATTAGTGTTCTGTCATCAAAATCTGTCATTCTGCTTCCTGATAGGACAAATTTTACATTCGAGTAATTCATAAGCTGCTCTAAAGCACAGCTGAATTATTTGATTCTTACCAGAACTGGACACCCGCCTGATCCTCTGGGGAGATACGGCTCGATCAGAGTTGAGATTTCTGTTGTCACTGCTCCGCCTCAAACAGGAAACAGAAGACCCCACTTTGGCTTTTGGACCAGGTGTTTTCCTCCAAATGGAGGCGCTGGGCTTGGCTATATTCCTCCCTGAGGTGGTGGCAGTTTTTGAAGCAGAACCCTGTGGGAAAAATAGTTCAGATTTCAGTCCAGATCACACCTTCCCCACACCGCTTCCTGGTGGTGTCAGATATGTGAAAGAAACAACGTCTGTCTAAGCAGATACACCACATTGAGATTTAATGCTCATTTTCACGATGAAGACATTTAAACTCTTCATAGTTTACTCTTCGATTCATCAAGATCTGCCTTTTTGTCCCCATCAGGGAACCTGTTCCAAAAATTAAACTCAAGCTACGGCTCTCAGCCCTTTTCCTGGAGGTCCTCTCTGTGGCCTCCAGAGCCGATGCCTCCATCTTTCTTTGGTGTCTCCATCAGAGCTCTGTCCTGGTATTCCTTCCATCTGTCTGGTTATTCCTTCTCTAGATCCCATTCTTCTGTACTTTTAAATGCTGGTTATCGCAAGGGCTCTGTTCTCTTTCCTCACCACATACTCTCCCTAGATGGTCTTGCCCACTGTTTCAACCGCCACCCATACACTCTTGTATCCAAAGTCCTCATGTGCAAACCACCACTCTCTCAGGTTTCCTATATATTTAGTGTCTTCCTTCATCTGCCCACAAAGCATCCTTCAGGCACCTCTACCCACAATGTCGACAACAATCATATTATTGCTGTTTTTACTGACAAAGATATAGCCCTTACAGGATGAACAATACCACTCTGAGTTCGAAATGCACCTATCAACTCATTTAATCCTAATAACCCTACAAGGTTGATACTGTCATCGTATTTCATTTCACAGCAGGAGAACGCAAAGCAGTGTCTAAAATCAAACTACTTTTACCCATCCATCTCAAAATTTACCTCTTCTCACATTCACCACCACATGCCCGGGCACCCACCTTACACAATGAAAGCTTCCTTTCTCACCTCCCAAACCCCTCCTGCTAGCATCCCCTCCCTTCTCCCTCCGCCTCAGCACAGGGGCATCGTTCCCCAGGTGCCTGGAACCATGTCCTGGTCTCACAGCCCCCGGTCCATCAGCCACTCCACTGCTAAGGCAACCTCTCCAATGTCCACACTGGGCTCGGAGGCGTCCCTGTGTCTCCCAGATGTCGACTCTCCTGAACAAGGCACACCGAGCCCTTTTGGATGTGGCAGCCCTGCCACCCTCTTGTTCCTTACTGTCCGTGCTTCCGCACTCCCAGCTCCTGTCACACTCACTACCCGGAGTCCTCTAAATGAAAATATCTTCTCATGTTTCTCCCTCTTGTACGTATTATTCCTTCCACCCAACACCCTTCCAATTCACAGCTGATCCTGAAGCTTCAGCTAATGAGTAACATGGCATCTCCCCGAGAAGCACCCCCTGACAAGGCTCCCCATGGGCACCGCCCTACTCTGATCGGGGCAGAGCAGTCTACACACGCTCTAACCTGGTGTTCAACAGGCCCCTTTTGCTGACCTTCTAACATGACCCCCCGCACTAGGCACTGGGTGTGGCCAGGGGCTGGGTCTGTCTATCCCAACAATCACCATCACACAGAGCACACAGTAGGCACCCAATAAATGTTCCCACTCTAGATGTAGCAAATGAGAGCCTGAGCCTTTCTCAAAGAACAAATTTCAACACGGTAAGCTATAATTTGTATTCTCCTGTTACATAAAGACAAACTGATCCTGCTGGAGACTAAGTAACTTGTCTGAGGTCACTCTGCCAGTGAATGGATGGAGCTACAATGTGAAACCACATCAAACTCCAACAGCCCGGCTCTTAACCTCTATGCTACACGCTCCCCACGAGCACCCTCATTTCTCAGCTCAGTAAGTCGTAAGTGGGTAACTTCCAGCAGAGATACATAAAGCCCCGTGCCGAACAGTTGCATTCATACATGAGGTGATTTAAAAACTTACATAGGGCAATATCCTAAGAGAACACTGAAAACAACGCAAAATTGGCCAAGAAAAGCAGGTGACTGTACACAAACTAACACAGTTTAGGGGTTTTTTTTCCACCATAAAACTGGCCAAAGTAATCTCCCAGAGAAAATCTTTTAAGAAGTAAACTAAGCTTTTAACCAACTAACAAAGTGAATCTTCAACAAATCAGACTTGCTCTGCCTTTCAGAGCCAACATTCCACAAAACTTTGAAACTCTGCAGCCTAAGGAGCAGAAAGGGCCAGGATTCAAGTCAGGGAACCTGAGTCTGAATCTCAACTTTACAGCCGACTAGCTGTGTGTTTTAAGTAACCTCTGTGAAGTTTTAAACTACAATGACAATGTAAAAACACTCGAACATTTCTGGGAAAATTAAATGACATAATAAACAGAAGACAGCTGAGCAAAGTGTTTGGCCCAGAGCAGGCAGCAAAAAAAAAAAATTGATTTCCTTTTATAGAATTGACCATCCCCTTCACCTAACACACTATCACCAGTACAAACCTCTGTAATGGGCAGCTACACTCAACCTGCATCAAATTAAAATCGAATTATTCCTTCTCCCACAGGAGACCCTTTCTGCAGTTTCAGATAAACCCTGACCAACCTGCTGTGAGGTGGTGTACAACCTAAGGATTCAATCAACTCAAGGCCTAATACAGGTCAAGACGAACAGAGCACGCTGCAAACACAGTCCTGCAGCGGCATCTCATCCCAGACCCAGGGCACATTCAGAGGCGTCGGGTACTGCTGAAGTGACCAAGAAACCCAGGGGTCTGCGCGAAACACGCAGCAAATGCTCACTCACACCACCCTCCACAATAAGCACAAAGCCTGTGGCCTGTGATGGTTTGCCCTGCCCCTCGCCCATTACACAGGGAGACGTGGAAGAGGTGAATGGTGAGATTAGAGGGGACTGCACAGAAAACATCATCATGGGGAAAAGATGGGTTTAAAAATACCAATCAATAAATAAAAGTGTCAGTGCTGAGAATGTGGAAATCCTAACTGCAAGGGTCCTAAGATGAAAAGTGCTTCCTCTCGGAGGGGTGGGTGCAGCTCAGTGGTAAAGTACATGCATAGCGTGCATGAGGTCCTGGGTTCGATCCCCAGCATCTCTGTTAAAATAAATAAACCTAATTGCCCCCTCCTCCAAAAAAATAATAAAATGAAAAAAAAAAGGATCATGTCACTTTCTTTAAAAATCTTTTTTAAAAAGTGCTTCCTCTCCAAGATATACTGGGTTCCATTTCAACATAATTCTGTCACTTCACTTCAATATCACATCATGAGCCTTTGAAAAACAGGCCTTCACTCTGTGCACAGAAAATAGAAAGCTAAGACTTACTCAATGTATACATCAGAAAAGCTTATAATTTCAGAATTACATAACCACTTTATATTCAAGACAACTCTTAAAGAAACTTCATGCTAGTTTTTCTGGCAGTTGGAGATCAATACACAATAAAAGTCTCCCATAAGTCAAGGAGAAATAAATGTATTGTTTTCATGGATAATTATCTATAAACACCCAACTAAGAATGTTGCTTAGAATTACCAGAGGTTATAATTTAATTTAGCAAAATATCTAATTAAAAATTATATGAAAAGAACTTCCTAAGTTTGACTTCGAAAGAACTTAAAAATAAAAATCTGAGTTTTGAAATAAAGGGCAGCCTCAGTAGTTCAGATATCCCTGTGGGGTACCATTCTTCCTAAAAAGGAGATTTATTACAAAAGTCAAAGCATCTTGAAACTGATCTAGCTCAAGAACTATCTCCTTAAAGGACCTAACAATTCCCTATGCAGCCTGAAAGCACCTAAAAGAGCCCTGTAACACGTCACCAAACTCCAGATTTCCTTCCTCTCAGACCTGAGCCCTCCGCACAGAACACTCACAGCTGCCTTCCGACCCAGGCACCTACCTCCACTCTTGGCCCAGAGGACAGAAGCTCCAGGAGAGCCTATGAGAGGCTGAAAATGCATGTAAGTCTCCACTGCCCAAAACAGGGCTGGGGACGAACACACGGAGCCCAGGAGTAGCCTGCCAGATGTTTCTAAAACTCAACGCTCTTATCAAAAATGTATGCATGTTTCAAGAAAAACAATCTCTGAACTGCACATGAATTCTTGCTGAAATGGAATCCCCCAATATCTGACAGATGATGTAGAGAACACGCTGCTTTTTGTATATATATGAAGAGAATGGGTTTTGTTTATTTTAGTACCAGGAATCAGTACGTCAGGGCTCCGAGAGAACTTACACATCCGCTAGTCCAATCTTTCACGTCTAGGTCTCAAAAGGTCACTTGCCCAAGGTCACACTAGCCGATCAGAGGCAGAACCCAGAACACTCCTGTTCACAGGAGAGGGCTCCACGTTTCCCAGCAGCTTCCTCAACGAGACACTAGGAGTTATTTTTAGGTTAATACTGTTTACCAGCACTCCCTAGCAATTTTTTAAATGTGGTCCAACACATTCAAGTTCATAAACAACAGGGTTTTCTCCCATAGAAATAAAACATAATAAGGTATTTAACTTCAAATAACTAATTACACTAAAATATTAACTCGTTCTTTTAGCTTACTAGTAAAAGCAACATTGCTACTCAGTATTGCTACTCAGTACAAAGGATTTTTTTTTCCAATATGCAGGTTTCCTATATTGTAACCAATGAACATTCTAAAATGTACTGGCTGACAAGACAAAGAACTACTGAATAACATATCACTACCTGAAGGCAGATCTGCACAGCAAGTTCAGCAATATTACTATTATTGGATCACCACTTGCTAATACGTCTCTCCATTTCCACCACCACTCCCTGAAGCAGGCAACAATTTCACTTACCAAAAACAGAGAACTGTAGTCAAAGGTCTCATTCATAATCTCCTTTTTCAGCTCTTGTTTGCCAGCCGGTGTCCCATTTTCTTTTTCACCCTTCTTTTCAGGGCTAATTCTCTCAATGTTGGAAGGACAGGTCATTTCCAAACATTCTGTATTTTCCATTTTAGCAGGGAGTTCACCTTGGATCTTCTGAAAAAACTCAGCCACGGACCCAGTCTCACATGCCGAATTAGACGAACTCGCTTTGTCAACATCTTCCTGATTTGATTTCATGGCAGAGGTTGTTCTTGGAACCTTGTGTGAAGCATTTTTAGAATGAGTTGTAACATGCACAGCCTGGCTCGTGACGAGTTTATTAAAGTGCTGCTTATGTGTTTTGTTAATTAGGATTTCTGCTTTTGTGTCGGCATTCAACTCAGATGTTGGTGTTTTGTTCAAAGTTGTCAACTGTCTTGTGGAGGCTGCTGCCAGGGGTGGTGAGGCGCTGGTTAACTGAGGTCTGGGTGCAGCCTTCGACAGAGCAGGGTCCTTGGACGGCAACACTGGTCTGGAGATCACTTTTGCTTTGACATTCTTGAAGTTTGGTCTTGGGTAACTTATAATTTCACTTTTTCTAACTCTGCTACCTAGAGGGGTATTCATTTTGGTTGTTGACTTTCCTAGATTGGGTTTAGACATGTTCATAGATGTCCCTTTCAAGTTCGATAAATTTCTAAGTTCTTGATGACTCTTCTGCGCTTTACTACATTTCTCTGTCGCTTCAATAGGTGAAATAGAAAAGGTGGCATTTGTGGGCTCCAGGATTGGCGTGGACATGCAAGCTACGCTGTTTGTACTAAAGATCATGTCATCTGCATCCCAAGTCAGGTCAAGTGATGAAGCCATCTTTTGTCCTGGCGGGCTATTCACTATCAATTCAATGGTACGATTTTGGGTTCCCAAATCCTTTTCATTGGAGGCAACTGATGTGTCTTTAGCCACAGTGACTTGATGTTCAGGGTCCAGCACTTGGGTTTTACTGTTATCAAAAGCTGGCACCAGTAAAGGGCATTCATCATCTATAAGACAAATGGACACTGTTTCTCTGAGATTTTGGCCCATTTCCTTTTGCCCACATGAGCTCTGTGAATGTGTCTCACTATTTGGTTCATCTTTAGATGAACAAAAGAACTCTTGTAATACAGACCCATTGGGAACATCCATGCCATCAGAAACTGGTGTCAGAGCTTGTACGTCCTTTTCTCTGACCAGTCTTTGCTGTGCCCCATCTGGGTACTCACTGGTGACCTTTCCCGAAGAACAGTGACACTGATTTCCAACATCTGGAACAACAGCATCAGTTTGCATCAGCACATCCAAAAATGCTGTGTCGGTTGTGTCTTGGGGCTCTGATGCTGCAGCTTGAGGGTTTTCAAAGCTGTCTCTGTCATCACTCATTTCTCTCTCATGGGAAGATGTAAGAATGGAGCAGGATAAAGACGTCCTTCCACCTCTCATGCCGGTTGGTTGCAGGCTTACAGTGGTCTGCAAAGACTGACACTCTCCGACGGTGTGATGCGTTATAAAGGTACAGTTAACGTTATCCACCTTCATGTCAAATGTTTGGTTTAGCTCCAAGGCAGTAGGGCTGTCTGTATATTTCAAATCATCATCGATAGGTTTCCACACAAAAGGTAGAGATGTCTCAACATCCTGGTCCTGAAATGATTCTAGGGAATGACCACTGTTATGCAAATACTTGGGTTCCTCTGTATTTACAACATGTGCAAAAGACTGACATGTGGAATCCTTATGCATGTCGAACACCTCCTTTCTAATGAGATCACTTGAAGACTTTTGGTGATCAAGTACTTCAACACACTGAGGGTTTAAAGAAATATTTTCACCAATGTCCACAGCAGAGTTGGTTTCATAATCAACCACCATGTCATCTGGCTTGGCAGAATTCCAACTCACATTAGTGGCTGAAGAGTTTTGTGTAGGTGGTGATTTTTGGTTATATGCATTTGTGTTTCCATCTTTTTCACTGATAAATAAGGACTGCAGATCATCTTCTGTCTTGTCATCTGAATTATCATCATTCATCCTGAATATTAACTTTAAACCTCTGCCATTGTATTTCTTCTCTGAATCCTTTCAAATGAGAGGGAGGGAAAATTTGTCCATCTCCTAAATTTTTTAGTACAGTTGAAAGTTCCTCAGTCTAAGAGGCTTTGAAATTGAAATGATTTGTTGTTCCCTGGAAGAAATAAAATGTTTTGCTCAAGTAAATACTAGAAAAATTAACAAGTCATCACTTAATCAACTTCAACCGCTTTATTTTTACATTTAGAACCTACAACTATGGATACGGATAATTAAGATATTAGCTAAAGAATCATCCTCTTTTTAAACGTACTTTTTCATTTGACGGAATGGGCAGAATGGAAGACAGAGACACTGCTAAAACTGCCCCCTCCCATCTGAGATGCCTCCTCCCTTACTTGCCAGAAGATGGAAGGAGGCTAAATCTGCCAGAAGCCGTCCCTTCTTTTTAGTTGACAGAGAGAACACTGGTCCTAATTTGCCTAGGACAGCCCCAGTTTATGCCTGCTGTCCCAGCATAATTAGAAATAATGCCCTTTTCTTCTTCAGAAGGGTCCCCTATTGTATCCGTGAGAGTGAGTACCAGACACATGGAGGGCAGGCACAGCAAATGAGCTAAAGATCAATGAAGATTTAGGGCACTAGCATTTTCCTTTCCTGTTTCCACCCACTATCTCAAACATACTTCATTTCAAAGGTGTTGATTCTTAAAGTGCTACTCTGTTGGAAGTTCCTAAAAAAAGTTAAACAGAGTTACTATATGACACAGCAATTCTACTCTCAGGTATCTACTCAAGAGAAATGAAAACATACATCTAAACAAAAACATGTACACAAATGTACATGATCCTTACTAGAAGCATTATTCATAAAAGTCCAAAAATAGAAGCAACCCCAATGTCCATTAACTGGTAAATAGGAAAATGTTGTATACCCATACCACAGAATATATTTTTCAGCAAGACAAAGGAACTGAGTATTGATACATGCTACAATGTGGATACAATGTTACAACTTAAAAATATTATAGATACAAGAATACTGTAAGCAAAAGTAAAAAATACATAAGTAAAAAGCCAGTCACAAAAAGACTACATATTATGTGATACTATTTACATTAAATGTCCAGAATACGTCAATCAACAGAGACAGAAAGGAGATGAGTGGCTCTCTGTGGCTGAGAAGGGGCAGGAGGGAAGGGAATGAGGAATGACTGCTAACTGGAATGTGTTTGTTTTGAGGGTAATGAAAATGCTCTGAAAATTATGGTGATTGCTGCACAATGCTCTAAATATACTGAAACTACTCAACTGCACACTTCAAGAAAAGTCATTGAAAACAACCCATGAAAGCTTTCAAATCCAAGGATTTTTGCAAATAACTAAATTTTATTATGCTTTTATAGTTAAATTGGAGTGCTTTAACAAAAAAGAAGACATATCCACAATATTTAAACTACAAATTTAGTTCTAAAGTCAAAATCAGAGCAGCTGAACAAAAATCATCAGCATGTGTTATTGATATATATATTGATATATTCATAAATCTCTACCTCCTATTAAAACCATCCAAGGTAACTAAATAGTTTTACCCCTAAGTGTCATCATAACTACTTACTTTCACAATTCGGGGTTAAATTCTTTAATTAGCTGCTGCTGACAAATTAGCTACTTTTCACAAAATCACCCTCCTGAAGCACTGAGTTTAGTAGAGGACATCCCGCACCCGGGAACCAAGTACAAGCATACCTGGTTGTTGGTGTCCTAAGAGCATAACAATCTCCAGTGAAGCCAGTTAAATAGGAAACAAAATCTAGAATTGGTTTAATGAATTTAAAAATGAAGGCTATGGGAGTTCCACAACAAAGCTGAACTTTCAACTGGGCCTCTTCTGAAAAAAAAAAAAATGCAGATTGGTTCAGTAGGTCAGGGGAGAGCCTTAAGATTTCAGCATTTCTATCCATCTCCCTGGTGATGCGGAAGCTTTTGGCCCATGGTCCATCCTTGGAGTGGCAAGGATGCAGCAGAGCACTGAGAAAGCACTGCCCATCTAGCCAACCAGATCAATCCAGTAACCGGACTGTCAGAGCCAGTTATTCTCACGCCCAGCTTCATAATTTGTTACTCAACTGGGAACAGACTTTCCTCACTTTTGAACCCTTATTAATTTAAGCTCTTGCTCTTTCCTCTCAGACAGCTAATACCACCTCTATAGAAAGTAACTGGAAATTTGTTTATAGTCATGGAGAATGTTGCTTCTAAATCCCACTCAAGTTTACTCCTCCCATGTGGAGAGAGTTCAGTTAGTGTAATATTTCTGCCATTTTCTGTCCTTTTACTCATTCCATCCAGAAGCAAGAAAGTGATTTAAGTGGATTCTGAGTATTTAGGAAGAACTAGTTGGGCAAGGACTAAGGTGAAGCGAGGGTGGCATTTGCCCCGGGCACTATATTTCAGACAGACTCAGTAACAGTGCCCCGAGGAGCCCACTGGGGCCTGAGGCAAGGGGAAAGTCAGTAATACTGACCCTGTCTTTATTGTGAATGTTTCATATTTCGTTCAATGTGGATTTTTTTAAACATTTCTGATTTTTAAAAATAGTGCATTAAATATTATTTATCTTGATCACTGAAGGTTTTCCAGTCTCACTCGCTTCAGCCTAGTCCCAGCCCTGCTGTCCTCAAAGAACATGAGCTCTACTCTGTTCCCCCGAAGGAACAGACACTGTCCCTGCAGCAGAGAGGGGTGGAGAGGGGGAGGGGGGCGGGGGTGAGGCCCACCCTGCTTCTACACTGTAGTAACCGGTGGGTAAGTGTCTCTCAAACGCAGTTCTGTCCGTCAAACTCACTTTCTTCTGTAACCCATCTATCATTATAGATGAAATTCTATAATTATAGAGTTGGCAATTATAATTCATCTATAATAATCTATCCACCTTACTCTGTGTCTTATTTCTCAAATGACTGATAATCAGATAGAGGAGAAAGGCAAGAATAATGCCCAAGAGTCAACAGGCAATCCTGACCACGTGCTGGCCACACTCTGGACAGAGTCCTGGAGCCACAGCCCCTGGGAGCCAGGCATTTACCCTCAGTTGCTGGATCCAGGGAGACCCAAAAGAGTCCCCAGGAGAGGCTGCAGTGCCTGTGGCCACCCAAGGAAGCACCTGGGGCTATGGGCCATGGCTTTTCACAAACTACTGCAGGAGAACGTCTGTACTTTAACCACCAGCTTGGCCGCTCTGAACAGCAGTCTGGAAAAGGAGGTATTATTTTCTGGGCCTCTCAAAACTGGAAATATGTTACCCTAGGCAACAAGCCATGTGGAATAAACAAAGGGTAAAGTGTGCAGGAGCAAGACACACAGTGGGCAACTGGGGCTTCTGCCATGGCTAAGGAGGCAGCACTGAGGTTCAAAGCATCGGTCAGTGGGTTGATCACATTGGTGGTTTGTGGCCTCTATCCTGTAATCCAGCTCCCTTTTTCAGCTGGGATGTTGGTTTTACATGACACAGACCGGGCAAGAGGCTTTAAGCCTGAGACTATAGCTTCTTTTGACCTGAGTAAGGAACTCCATCTCAAGGCAGCTGCACCCTTGGGTGAGCGGCTGTTTCCACGGAAGGAGGGCTGCACAGGTCTGCAGCCTGAAGAAGACAGGCCTGGGCCGCACATCTGACACAAAGCCACCTGGGCCTGGCACTCCTGGTCCTCACCATCCTCCCTATTGATTCTCAAATAAATTATCACATGATAAAGTTATCCTACAGTATAAATCATGCTAGCATTAGTTTACTTTTGAGCAAAATAAAAAGCCTAATTAATTGTGACTTTAGAGGCATTTTAAGAATAGTTGACACTGGGTGTCCACTTAGTGAATCTCTGTCAGTAAGTTCAGGTTTTGCACAGCTGTGAAAACCATAAGACCAGAAGTACATTCTATTAGCAAAAACAGATCTTATTAGTATCAGTGCAATTTTAAGGACAAGATCAGAAACTTGGCAACTGATGAGTAATTCAATGTCTGCAGAGTACCACGTGCAAGTACACCCAGTACACAAGTAACCACCAACCTTGATTAGATTCTGAAGAAAAGGGAAAATGTATCAATCCCACCCATCCCAAAGGCCACATACTAGTCCCATCCCTTCACTGGGTCTCTTCCTACTGCTGTAGTCTTTCCTGGGCTCCTGTGCCTCCAAATGTCTATAATTATTAATCTTATAGCAGCCACTAGTAGATGCTTACTGATTACTCATCCCATTCTTCTTCCCTGCTAGCAGAAATCTGAGTTTGTACAGGTGTCCACCTTGTCCCGTGTAACTTAGGGAAAGATGCCATCCTAGCTCAGGAGTAAATGCTGACTGGTCTAAGCCAGTTGTGGAGGTCCTGATTTTCCATGGAGTCTACAAAAATCAGTAGATGACCTGAGTCTTTGAGATTTATTGTGTTTGCATTACTATATATAAAACAGATAAGTAACAAAGACCTACTGTATGGCACAGGGAACTGTATTCAATTTCCTGTAATAATGTATAGCGGAAGAGAATCTCAAAAGAAAAAATACTTATGAATAGCTGAATTGCTTAACTGTATACTTGAAACTAACCTGGTAAATCAACTACACTTCAATAAAAAATTTTTTAAAGTTAAAGAAAAAAGATTGTGTCTGTATGGTAACTAGACGTACTGAGGTGATCATCTTGAAATGAACAGAAAAACTGAATTGCTATGTTGTGTATTAGGAACTAACATAGCGTTGTAGGTCAAATATACTTCAAAAACAAACACATTCTTAGAAAAGAAATCAGATACGTGGTCACGTAGACACGAGGGTGGGCGTGGGGAGGATGGAGGTTGGATGACTGGATGAAGGTGGTCAAAAGGTACAAACTTTCAGTTATAAGATAAAGAAGTACTAGGGATGTACAGTATGATAAACATAATTAATGCTGCAGTATGTAACACATGAAAGCTGCTGGGATTTACTCTCACTATGTTGAACATCTTGAACTTATACAATGCTGCATGTCAACCATAACTCAGTAAAAGAAAAAATTAAATAAGTAAGATTCATTGTATTTGCAAGAATGTGTTTTAGCATCTCAGTTTAGAATTTCAATGGGTATAAATTTAACAATAACGGAAATCAAAAGAAC